TGAGATAAATCACAATGTGCTTGATACATATTAATAGTAAGGTTCAATAACTATTAGAACGTGAATAATTAAAGCTACCAGGAAGAGGATGGAGTAGTGAATTCTCGGCCACAGAAAGTGTTGAAGCACAGGCTGACCACCTGTTACAAGTGATCTTGGGAGGGGTTTCCTGCAATGGGCAGGCATTCGACTAGATGTCCTTGAAGATCCTTTTTAACTCTGAAAATCTATGAAACCTAAATAACATTTCCAAGTGAGAACTCAGGAACAGCAAAACAAAAAGTTGAATAATTAGGACTCTCCCAAGAGATGAAAATAAAATATGTGAATGGCAGTATAAAAATGAATATACCTCTAGGAAAATATCTATTAGACCTCAGATCCACCAGAGATAGAGATATGATTTTCAGGGGCCTATGAATAATGCACAATTCATTTGAAATGGTAACTTTCAATCATCTTCAAGAAGATAGGTGTTCTTTTTCCTCTTTTCAGGAACAGATAGTCATGTACTAGGTGTTCTGTTTTGCTGTGTGCATTCAGTGTTTTCAGTGTCCCATTTAGCATTCTTGCTGCTATCTTCTCAACATCAGATCCCCTGACTCAAATATAACACACACTCTTTCACACACACATTTGTTAGCAAAAAAGTGATGCATCAAATTGACACTTGCATGTGAAATTCAAGGTCAAATGCTACTTTATTTCTCAAAATGAAATAAAGAGAAAAGAAGCAAATGCAGATCCCTTAGGAAAATCCAAGTAGTAGGAATTCTGGAAGACCATTTGGGAAGCCACCTTCACTACTCATAGGACAGCTGGCTCCCATAGAGAAAACATCCAGAGACAGAAGGCTGCCTAATGATTTAAAAAAAAAAAAAAAAACACAAAGCAAAACAAACAAACAAAAACCTCAGTTTTCATGACAAGGATGAGAATGTTTGCAGCTCCCTAAGGATGATGGCAAAAGATTCCTGTCTCAGTTTTCTAAGTATTTTGGAAAAGTACACAAATAATTTATTTAAAGATTTTAATATTTCGTTGAAAGGCAGAATGATAGAGAAAGAGGAGAGAGGAAGAGAGGGAGAGAGGGAGGAGAGGAAGGAGAGAGAGAGGGAGAGAGAAATCTTTCATCCATAGAGTCATTGTTCAAAAATGGTGACAATAATCGGGGCTGGCCCCAGCCAGGCTGAAGCCAGGAATCCCATCCAGGTCTCCCACATGGGTGGCAGGTATCCAAGTACTTGGGCCATCATCTGTTGTCTTCCTAGGCTCATTAGCAGGAAACTCGGCCAGAAGTGGAGCAGCAGGGAGCACATACAATGTCTGCCAGTAAATAATTTTTTGGTTGGCTCATCTTTTTCTTATCACATTTTCTCTATGAAATAATCAGGCTGTTTCATAGTGTACAATATCTTCCCTAAGCACTGTAGCTCTTCTTACCAGAAAAAATTAAAGGCATTTCAGGATTGGCATTTTGTCTGGTAGTTGCCATGTTGGGTGCCTGGCTTTGATGTCTGCTTCCAGCTCCTGACTCCAGCTTCCCCCTCATGCAGACCCCAAGAGGCAACAGTGATGGCTCAAGAAATTAGATTCCTACCAAGTACCCCAGTCCACAGAGCACAGGATGGAGAAGCCAGCTCTCAGGTTTGCCCTTGGCCCAATCCCTGGCTGTCACAGACATTTAGGAAGCAAACCATCAGGTAGTTGAGAGCACACTTTCTGTCCTAATTCTCTACTTCTCAAATAAATACTTTAAAAAAATTTTAAATATTCAGGGCACTTCAAATTTAAGAAAATGTAGAGATAACTCAAACTGAAGAAAATAAAAAAGTGACTCTCCTTCAACTCAGGACAATCCTATAACTAGTATTTCTCCTTTGTACACTTAAGTATACATCTCTAAAATCTATAGACATCTTCTTAAATAGTTATAGTATAACTGTCAAGCCTAATTGTGATAAATACTTAACATCATCCAATAACCAGTTCATATTTAATATCCTGAAAATACTTCAAGAATTGTTTTATACAGTTTCCTTGTTTAAATTAGGGTCCAATCAAAATTCTAATCCTGCATATGCTTGTTAAGCCTCACTTGATTTGAAGCTAAAGTGATTATCACAAGTCCCTTGTTTATTTTCTTTCATGTCACTGACCCGTTGAGCAAACCAGGTAAGCTACAGAATGTCCATCACTCTAAATCCGTCTTCTTGCTTCTTTGTACTGTTACCAGAAAGTCATTTAAATTCTGCTTTGTCTGGTGTATTTGTAATTTCCTTTGAATCTCTAGTTTTCAGGAACTTTAGATTTTTTTATTGTATTTTTTTTGACAGGCAGACTTAGACAGTGAGAGAGAAAGAGAGAGAGAGAAAGTCTTCCTTCCATTGGTTCACACCCCAAATGGCCACTATGGCTGGCTCGCTGCACCAATCTGAAGTTTAAAAATTTATTTCTTTACTTAAAGGCGGGGTTAGAGAGTTATAGAGAGAATAAAACACAGAGGGAGAGTAAAATAGAGAGAGATTTTCCGTCTCTGGTTCACTCCTCAAATAGTCTCAATGGCCAGGGCTGAGCCAAGTTGGAGCCAGGAGCCAGGAGCCAGGAGCCAGGAGCTTCATCTGGGCCTCCCAAGTTGATGCAAGGGCCCAAGTACTTGGGCCATCTTTTGCTGCTTTCTCAGCTGCATCAGCAGAGAGCTGGATCAGAAGTGGAGCAGCTGGGACATGAAAAGGCACTTCTGTGGGACACTGGTGTCACAGGTGGCAGCTTAAACTGCTATGCTGCAATGCCAGCCCTGGAACTTACGGATTTTAGTACCTTTCGAATCTGCTGCTTCCTTGTAGACAGGGTGGGAGCCATGGTCTGTATTTTCTGGATCATTATTTCCCACGCCTGTCCATTGAGGATCATTGGATCTCATGAAGTCTCCTGATTTGCCTCGTCCTTGCTCTCTGGTCCTGCTTTCACTGCCACCCCTGCCATATCCCTTATCTCAGGACACGAGCAGGAGCTCTGAAACTGGAAGTCAGATGCCTGTTGACTATGCTTGGAATAACCGTTCAAGGTCTTACTTCGGTCTACCCGACCCCACTAGACAAGTTCTCCATCTCCCTTTCTAACTCCATCACCAGCTGCACCTCTCCCCTTGTTTAATGAACCTCCTTCTGGCTGCTCAGTTACACAGACATCTTCAACTCTGAGCCTTTGAGGTTGTTTGTGGATTGCACAGAATACCTTTCCCTCAAACATCTGCATGGATTTCTGTTTATTACTAATCAGGTCTCAGCTCAAAGATCACCTTGAAACCCTTTACCCAACCTATCCGAATCAAACAAACCACGGACATCTTAGTTTCAGCATTTCACCTTAGTTACTTCCATTATAATAGTTGTTTTATTCATTTGTATACTAGATTTTCTGTCATAAACCAGTTCTATATTTTTCTTTCTACGATTTCTCAGGACTGGTGTAGTGGCACAGTGGGTTAAGCTGCCTTCTACGACACCAACATCCCATATTGCAATGCTGGTTTGAATCCCAGCTGCTCGGCTTCTGATCCAGTTCCCTGCTAACATGCCTGAGAAGGCAACAGAAGATGGCCCAAGTACTCAGACACCTGCCAATCATATGGGAGACCTGAATGGATTTCCTGGCTCCTGGCTTCAGCCCGGTCTAACTCTGGCCATTACAGTCATTTGGGGAATGAACTAGCAGGTCAAAGAGCTCTTTCTCCCTCTCGTTGTAGCTTTGTCTTTCAAATAAATAACCAAATATATTTTTAAAAATATTTCTCATTACATCATGTTTCCTGTGTATTGATTTGTTTGTATATTGCTTTCACTTTCTATTTGAAGGTAAGCACTGTGAGAGCAGATGTTTTCTTATCTAATATCTGCAGTGTCTGGAACAGTGCCTCACACACAGTAATTGTTCAATAAATCACGCTGAATAAATGAATACCAAATTTAGCTAGATTGTTTACATACAGCACAGATTCCTAGACTGAAGTCTCTAGATGAACTTTACATTATATTAAAAGCTGCTGTAAGCTATATGCTATAACAAGATCCAAGGCATCTTTACACTTTATATTTCTTAAAAAATCAGAACCAAAAAATATTTTCATATTTTCTAACCATATGTTTTAGAAAAAAATATTCTCCAACTCTGTAATCATCTTATTCCTTATAGATACAGCATCCATGGTAGAGATGGGTGTTTGGCCTAGCTGTAAAGTCACTGACTGGGATGCCGTATCCCACAATGAAGTGTTTGCGGTCACATCCCAGCTCCACTCCTGATTCTAGATCCCTGCTAATGTGAACCTTAGGAGGTAGTGGATGATGGCTCAAGTAATTGGGTTTCTGCTGCCCACATGGGAGATTCAGATTACATTCCTGGCTTCCAGCATTGGCCTGGCCAGCCCCAGCTGTTGCGGGCATTTAAGCAGTGAAATAGTGGATAGAAGTGCCCTGTGTGTGTGTCTCTGCCCTCCCCCGCCTCCGCTTCTCCAATAAACAAAATTTTAAAGAGAAAATATAAACAACAAAATGACTTACTTTCCCATTGCTTCAAATCTAATATGTCCCCATTATTTTATAAAAAGTGAAAACTGTACGCATTATTTTGCATTCACTTAATTGATTTTTCACATGCAGGCACCATGACAGCACAGTTGAATATCTACAGTATAATCATTATACAATTTATATATCAAGATAGAGGTCATAATTTATTCAATATTACCCCTAGTAATCATTACCGAGCATTTTAATTTTCAATACTTAAAGGCATGTGTATTCTCTGTGACTCCCACAAAGAAAAAAATACTCACTAATAGAGTAAATTAACATAATGGACTCCAAGAATTAAGCTAATGACTTGTTTCTAAGTCAAGTCTGCAACACAAAAACCCAGGAAATACAACAGATTAGAAAATTACCACCTTCATCAGTGTTGACTGACAAAAACACAAATGCACTTTGGCATTCACTTACTTCCATCAGTAACTTGAATCCTTCTCTTTTCTTGATCTCATCTACTAGGTACCTACAATTAAAAATTACAAAAACATTTACCATCTCCAACCTAAAAGTGTCATGAACATGACTCAGGTATATGACAAAGCTGTTAGACAAGGCTTAGAAATGGAAGCTATAGGTAAGGGTACTGGCGAAAGGAGAGCTGTGCTTTTAGACAGATACCTCTGGGCCTACTGTACTCTCTGGGTCTGAGCAAAAAGATCTTTTTTTTGTAAGATAATCTCCAGCTCACATGTTAGCAGCTGACTTTGACCTCAGCAGAAAAGGTCAAGCGTGTATCTCCAGACATGTGGGTTTCACATCCATATTCTAGATGGGATTTAGCAGATGCTTAAGTTCCCTAGCTGACTTGGAGGAAAGAGTTCATGATGTATAATCCTTGCTTGTTAAAGTTCATTTAAGTGCACCGAAGATAGGCTTCTTTTCTAAGGCTAGCATGGACTGAGAATCATCACAATGTTAAAAGTAGGTGGGCTGTAGCCACTGATGGAGATCTACGATGTTATCTTGAACATCTGGGGCAGGGGAATTATCACATTGGAAGCAGAGGGCACAGACACGTGGGGTGTGGACTGTGACTGAGTAGCAACCAAAATAACATTAAGCATGTCAAGTACAATAACAGTAAGCCCTCTTCTTTCAGCTTGATTTTTGTGTCTGGAAAAACAGAGGCCCGAATGGTTGGGCTTTGAAACGTGTGACTTGATCATTAGCCTAAAGGAGTTCCCAAAGCTCGACTCAGTGTTTCAGATCTGGGGGTCACATGTCAGGAAGTGTTCAGATGTGCTGACATAAGCGTATGTGTTAGATATTTACTGGGATTTCTCATGCAATATCAAGATAAGAATCAAAGAATGAGGGGAACCTCACCATCAACAGTAAGGACTGGCTTTGGAAATTGTGGTCTCATCATGGGAACTATGGTACCATGATCTCGTCACTAAGCTATATTCAATTAGTATTTAAGGACACACACAGAAAACGCTCACATTTGACCTCAACTCCCAAATCTGTAAAACAGAATGAACACAATCTGCCTTTCTCAATCTGAAAAGTTGTTGTTGGATAATTGAAGATCACACACACACAAATTGGAAACTATAAAAACCATGGAGAGCAGGAGCTATTTTCATTACATCGTTTGCTGAAAGCCGTTGTAGAATATGGATTTGGAATATATTAGTTTAGAAAATTCAGTTCCTTCTTAACAAACTTATTGATAGAGCTTTTCATAGGAGATTATATTGATGTGTGCATAGAAATTATGTCATCTTTGAAACACATATAAACTTATAAAAAGTCTATCAGTATTAGCCAACAGTAGGACTACTTCATTTTGAACACAATGTTGCGATCATACACACACAGATTGATTTAAAAACTCTGATGCTCAACGTACACACTGCTGTACATAAATCATTTTCATGTAGGGGTTACATGGCTGCAGAGTTCTTAAGCCTTTAGCACACAACCTGCATTTTGAAAAAAGCAATTCCAATGGTCAATACACACCAGAAAAAGAGGCTCAACATCACTGGTAATCAAACAGGTGCAAATCAGAAAAATACTAACCCATGTTCCCCACACACGAGACCAAAAATAAAAGAGCAGCAACATGCAGTGCTGGTGAGAAAGTTGTGGGAAGCTGCTATAACTCTTCTAAAATTACTGACACTCATAGCTTCTGATCCAGCGAACCACTTTTGAGATGGTGATCCACTGGAGAATGAATTAGTACAAAGGGTAGACAGATATTAAACACAGACACACAGTGTTGTATTTAAAGCTGAGTGTGTGTGTGTGTGATCTCATACAAAATAACCAGAAACAAGGTCAGTCTTGAGAAATTCCAGAATGGTAAAGTAAAATGTACTACAGTGACGAATGTACAATGATGCAGCTATTAAAATGAATCAGTAAGAGGTAAAAAATGAGGTACTGAGAAATATGGATCAGTGAGTCCATTTTAAAAGACATTTTTGGAAAGAAAGCCAGAAGCAATCTGTATCCATGCAGGCATGAACACCGACTAACGTGAGGGAGGCAGAGAGAGGACGTGGTAGACGTGGGTTAGTGATGCTTGACTCTACTCGTGTGTCTGTTTGTGAGGGTTCCTACATGTGGTTGTGAAGATTTTGAAAAGAAATTTAATGAAAGAAAAACTATAAAGCACAAAATTAAAAATATATAAAGCAGTGCTTTTTTGCTTCATAATATTTGCTGAACTTTTTACTTAGTGTAGGGTTAACCTTATGAGTAGTAAGTAGTAAACTGAAAATAGATCTTCATAAAAAATTAAGAGTGTGAATAGGAGAGGGAGGAGGAAGAGGGTTGGAGTGTGGGTGGGAGGAAGGATAGGGGAAGTATTACTATGTTCTTAAATCTGTATATAGGAAATACATGACACTTGTACAATTTAAATAAAATTTAAAATAATAAATAACATATTTTTATATAGAAAGCACAGAAATGGACATATGCGATCTCTGCCTACATGAGGAAAGCTTTGTGAACCATCTGTTTGTCATCTTCACAAATGTATAGGCATGGGCTGGCACCACGGCTCAATAGGCTAATCCTCCACCTAGTGGTGCCGGGACACTGGGTTCTAGTCCCAGTTGGGGCGCCGGATTCTGTCCCGGTTGCCCCTCTTCCAGGCCAGCTCTCTGCTGTGGCCCGGGAGTGCAGTGGAGGTTGGCACAAGTGCTTGGGCCCTGCACCCCATGGGAGACCAGGAGAAGCACCTGGCTCCTGCTTTCGGATCAGCGCGGTGCGCCGGCCACAGCGCGCCGGCCAGGGCTGCCATTGGAGGGTGAACCAACGGCAAAAAAGAAAGACCTTTCTCTCTGTCTCTCTCTCTCTCTGTCCACTCTGCCTGTCCAAAAAAAAAAAAAAAAAAAAAGTACAGGCGGTTAACTCAAAAACCTTTACCTCGTCTGCACAAGGAGGCCGCACTAATCCCACACACTCCAAGCCTGTGGAACACGTTGTCTCTTCAGAAATCTTGGGAATGACACTAGATTAGAAGATTCGGATGGTTCAGCCAACCATCTGGTGACTCTGGGCAAATTCCTTAGCCTCCCTGAGCCTGCCTCAGTTTCCTCTTGAATGTAATGAAAATTCTAAACAAAATAGGTAAAAAAGCCTGCCCTCACAGAGTGTGTCTCACGAAGCCCCTATGTTTCCTGTAGTCTGTTTAAAACACTTCTGTTGGGGCCAGTGCCACAGCATAGTGGGTAAAGCTGCCACCTGCGGCGCCAGAGTCCCATATGGGCGCCAGTTCAAGTCCTGGCTGCTCCACTTCTGATCCAGCTCCCTGCTAATGCACCTGGGAAAGCAGCGGAATTTGGCCCAAATACTTGGGACCCTGCACCAACATGGAAGATCCAGAAGAAACTCCTGGTTCTCAGGTTTGAGTCGGCTTTTGCAGCCATCTGGGGAGTGAACTAGCTATTGGAAGATCTTTCTCTCTCTGTTTCTGCCTCTCTCTCTTTCTCTGTAGCTCTGCCTTTCAAATAAAATAAATAAATCTTAAAACAAAAACAATCCTGTGAAACTGACTAAAATTGCTCCTGGTGGCAAGGCATTCTAAAAGAGAGTAGAATTATTTCCAGTAAAATTCTGCTTTTTGCTAACCATGTAGACCTGGGCTTTGTACTGGGGTCAGCATTTCCACTAATATTGCTATCTGAGCTTGCAGAGCCAGTTCAGCTGAATTCAAGGTGGAGATGATTTGGGGAAAGAGAGAATCTCGCTATTACAATAATAGCAACAATTATCCTTCATAGTATGTCATGGTAACAGTTGTTCACATAAAAGGACTCCACTCTCAAATGAGTTTGAGCACTGCTAAGTACATCAATTAAATGGCTTCTGTCTATAATTAGAAGTGCACCTGATTTAATCCATGAGTGTATTTCTGGAGCTGATTGTATGGGTCAGCATTGCCACCAGGAAACAGGTGTTTTCTAGCATTTTAGCCAGCCATGCTGAGGTCTCCTTCAAGTTCACTAGATGGCTACCACAACTCCACACATGTTGTCCTTACAGCAGTGCCCCAAGAAGGAACAGAGGGGACTAGAGTACTACCCACTACTCACACCTCTCTCTACTTAGGTAACAATATGTCCCCCAGAAGTGTTCACAGAGTTCTAAACCAATTACTGGTAGAGGAGATTGGCTAACCGATGTTCTCAGATGCAACATTGCGACCTGAATGAAATCAGTGTCCTATTGGCAAGGAAGAAGAGAGAATGGTTGTTGGTTGCACAGTCAACAGTGTCTACTTAATAGTTAAAGCAAAGCTTAAAATATTTCTACATAATAGGCCTTCTCAGAGACTTTAATGTACTAACAAGCACTTTGAGTTTTCCAAGAGAAGAATAATAGAGGAGTTAGCTTTTTCCAAACATATTTCACCATGGAATCATTTCTTGAAAGGTCATTTATTAAGAGCTCATGGAAGCCTATTACTCCACAGAGCTCAGGTTTGAAGTGGCTTCTTCTGCAGGGTTGCTTCACCTCCTCTTTAATAAATGCTGGAGTGAAATGAGATGGTGGAGGGACTGCAAATAATTTGGGGGTCACCACTGTCTACATTTATGGGGATGAGCCTTCACAACTTTTTCCAGTATATATGAAATCAGCCTAAAGACAAAATACATTTTAAAATGTCCTGTTAGAAGACGGCGCCGTGGCTCACTAGGCTAATCCTCCGCCTGAGGCACAGGCACACCGGGTTCTAGTCCCGGTTGGGGTGCCGGATTCTGTCCCGGTTGCCCCTCTTCCAGGCCAGCTCTCTGCTGTGGCCCGGGAGTGCAGTGGAGGATGGCCCAAGTGCTTGGGCCCTGCACCCCATGGGAGACCAGGAGAAGCACCTGGCTCCTGGCTTTGGATCAGCGCAATGTGCCAGCAGCAGCGCTGGCCATGGCAGCCATTGGAGGGTGAACCAACAGCAAAAAGGAAGACCTTTCTGTCTGTCTGTCTGTCGCTCTCATTATCCA